TGGTACATGTTCAATGATGAATTGATATAGTTGCACTATCAGTGACCATTGAGTCATATTGTCTTAGTTTGAAGCATGAAGTGTGTAACAACTTAAAACCTGATGATTAGTGAAAAGTTTAAATGACTTCCCTATTAAATAATAATGTGGATGTGGATATATATGTCCCATTAGATGGTTAGACACTCCTGTTCTATGTGGAGTAACTTGTTTCTCAAAATAATAGTTTCCTGCTACTTAAGGCAATGGCCTACATCCCCTAATGGACCTTGTTTGAGATATCTCTGATATCTCCATTGTCAAGTGTTATGAAAATCTGGACTCTTGAGGAATAGAGCTTGGCATATAGCAAACTTCACATTCTGAAATGCTCTGTCATGTTCTTCAGTTTGTGTAATTTTCATTGGTTTAGCCTTCTGAATAAGACTGGTAAAAGAAGCAACTACATCCAAAACATTGAGGATAAACTAATATTGATATCATATATCATATTCAAAATGAATTGCTTTTTTAAAAAATCAATTTTTATTGAACTTTTCTACATTTTAAAAACTCATATATAATCTTCACAGCATTGTAACATTGACATTTTCATTTAGGTCAATATACATATTTACATTAATTTTTGTTTCTACTGTCTAATCAATTATACCACTTATCCCAGTATAGTATTCCATATCTTCTCTATCTTGCAGTTCCAATGTGAGTTTGAGCATCCATTGCATCCATTGCTTTATTATCTTACTGTCAGGGGGAGGGTACTATCTAGTTTTCAACTCTGTGCATATGTGATTCTTGCCACTATCAATATATGTGTTATAATATATTTAATTTCTTTATCAAATACTCCTCTAATTATTCCTATTAGAAACCTTTCAGGTTTGAATTCAGTTTGGAGACCAATAATTTCCTGCAACCAATTCCTTATTTTATTCCAACATTTTCTTGCTTCAGGTACCTTGTTTGTGCTTACATTTCCAGCATTCTGGACTCATGTTTGGATATATTTTAGCCAATCTTGCCGGTGTTAGATGCCAACAGTAAATCGTTTTATAAAGGTTTTCCTTATAGGCAGTGGCCATTGTTAATTTATAATTTTTAGTCCACAATTTTTCCCATTCCTCTAATTGAATGCTGTAACAGAAGTTTCTTGCCCAGGCTATCACATTTCCTTTGACTACTTCCTCTTCCCTATCAAATCTTAGTAGGTAATTGTACATTTTGGCTATAATTTTTTCTTCTGGTCCTTATAACATTTTATCTATATAAATATCAATCTGCTATTTATATTGTAGGTAAATATTTAGGGATATGTAATAATGTTACACCGGTCAAGTATACTGTAGTAATAACAATATACAATGATCTAAGATGTTACTTAGCATTTAAAGAACTCCTATTAGATGTCAATTAGAGAGCAACACTTTATATTAACAGTTAAATATTTCATCTATCAATCAGGGCCTTAATTTCATTAATCACTAATCACTTCCACTATAATTATCACAACTTATATAAATATATATCAAGAAAATGTGCATAACAGATAACTATACAGATCTCTATAATTATCACCAGTAATGTATTATTAATATTTAGTAGGATTACATCTGCTTCAGGCCACAGAGTTATTTCCTTTCTTTCGCTTCCTTCCTTCCTGTTATTTGCTGTCTTCTTGTAAGCAACTACATTCCGTATCAAATGTCAATCCAACACTATCCCGTTTTTCCCGGCATCCGCGGTCGTATACGCCTCTCTTATCACATATTTGTCCCTTATATTGTTTTTCTAGCTTCTTCCCTTTCCTCTGTTTTTCTTCTTTGGTTGAAAAGTTCTCCTCTCTCCAAATGTTGCTCTCACCACCAAATCACCACCCGTCCTGGAGGCTTCCACCCCTTCGAATCTAACACTTTCTTTTTCACCATTGATATGTGTGGATCTTTACTCCTCTGCTAGGTAATTTTCCCTTTATGGCCCTGGGCTTCACCAGGTCTGTCGATGTCTCCATCTGCTGTTTCTAATTCTTCCTTCTTTCTCTACATCTGGCTGTCACAACCAGGAGTCAGCCATCATGCGGATGACTGTGCTTTTTCGCTCCAGGTTTGTGGGCTGCCTCTTTGTCGCACCAGATGGGTGCCTTCCACCTCGTTGCTCCCAGAGTTTCCCCACTAATCAGCGAATCCCTCGAGGATCAATGTGCCCTCAGAGGGCCTCCAGATGCGAAAAATTCGGATCTAGGGAGTGGAGCTCCGCTCACCGTTTTCCTCTCTGTGGCTACGGGACTCCAGAGAGAGTGAGTAGGCTCAAGTCCTCAGCCTATTGGACTGAGCCTGCACATTGATTGACGCTCCGCCCTGCACCATAGGCCACAGCCTAGTTTTCAACTCAGTCCAAGCCAGGATGGACGTGAGTGCTGGGGCTCCACTTCACATTGGAAGAGGAGGCCTTTTCTTTAAAAAAAAAAAGAAAGAAAATTCTGTCTTCAAAAGCAAGGAGATCTGCAAATACGGAGGGGTTTTGATTGCCCCCAGTCCAGGAAGCACTCAGGGCAGTGGCCCTAGTGCTTGAACCATACTGCATGGGAGTGGTTGGAGTGGCAGCAGTGATCGTCCGATAAGGGCATCAGCTGTTTTACATAGCAGCAGAACAGGCGATCAGCCTGATTTTTGATCAGCTGCAAAGTGCAGTAGCGCAGCAGCAAGCTGCTTGATTGGGCAATCGTCCTGACCCAGCTGGGCAGAACCAACGCATGGTAGCATTGGTGCACAAGAGGATTGGATTGCAGACAAGGAGGCAGAAGATTCAAGGCCCAGCTGGTGCCACAGATTCGATCACATTGCCAGTGCTGGGAGTGCAGGTATAATGTTGAGGTCTCGTGTGGTGCACCAGTAGACCTGTATGCAGGTCCCATTTGCTTATGGTGGCTGGCAGGGCATGTCTGCAGCCCAGCAATAGGACTTTCAGGTGTGCTTCACTGGTCTTGGAGGTAAGAGAAGCTGTTTGTTTAAGCTGGGCTTAAGGGGCTCAGTAGGAAATGAAAGTGGAACTAACTCTTCATCCCCTTTCCTCCCCCAGGAACCAGTCTTTCCCTTGGGCAGTTCTACAGCTCATATCCCACCAGCCAAGATGGCGGATGCACATAATCTTTCTATATCTAGGGCAGATCAAGAGGCAGGCAAAAGAAAAAGGCCCCTGAACCCAAACAGCCTTCTAGGTCTAAGGAGCAAGATGCTATCAGAAGGCAGAGACCACTGGAGAAGCAGGTGGAAAAGAACCAGTGTGCCTCTGGAGTAAGGAGCCTCAGATCACCACCCCCAGATGAGTCAGTTTCTTCTGCGCAGTCTCCAGTGTTACAGATTGAGTCTGGGCCCTCCTCTGCATGTAGGCCTTGTTTGCAGGCTTGATCCCCTGATGAGGCATCTGCTTCTGCAGACCCACTGCTACTAGAAGGGGGCAGGGATTATGAAAGGGTCCACCAGACAGCATTCCAAGAGGAGTCAATGGAACCTCCTCCTAGGAGGCGTAGACCAGGGTGGAGGCAACTTTTACCCCCACTGCTGCAGGCCTGTGGGATCCTGAAGTTGCAGAACAAGTATTGCCTGCTCACTTTGAGGTCATTTCTAAGGCAATAAGACAGGGAATTGTGGAAAGCCTTCAAGTGATGAGAAGAGAAGGCCAGAATCTGTGGCATCTGAATATTCTATTATTTCATACCCTGATCCTTCTTTGCATTCCAGAAGTAGGCAGTCTTTGAGGGACAGGGCTTCACTTGACCCATCCCTACATAGCCATATATCTGTGGCCCCAGAAGAAGACAAACAAGAATCTGACTTCTCTGAGGAGGAATGCATGGCTCCTGAAAGACCAGCCTTTTCTAGTCTATTTGAATCCCATAAGTTCCAGGCATTATTGTTCAAGGCCAAGAAGATAGTGCAGTTGGGGCCAGAGGCAGATGTTGGAGACATTTAGGGAGATACACTTGCACTTCCAGACCAAATCTTTGCTGAACCAACTGTATGCCCTGAAATGGTTCCGGCCCCGAGTCTATTTTTAAATATCATTAAGAAACAATTAGAATATCATTAAGAAACAGTTAGCCGCGAGGCTGCTTCTATCGGCAGACAAAAGCTCCCTTGAAGACAGAATCCCCAGCCGCTTCGGGCCATGGCATGGCTGCCCAAGCGGCCTCGTGGCGAGGGCATGTGTGTGTGTGCTCGCCCCAAGGCTGCTTCTACCGGCCGATTGAAGTGGCTAGTGACTGCATTTGGGGAGCTTCCATCGCCCAAAGAGACTGCCCTAAAGGCGAGGGGACACGGGTAGCCATGCCTCACCCTGAAGCAGCTGGGGATTCTGCCTTCAAGGGAGCTTTCATCCGACGATAGCAGCTTCGCGGAGAGGGGAGTGTGTGTGCGTGCGCTCGCCCCGAGGCTGCTTCTACCGTCTGATCGAAGTGGCTGGTGACTGCATTTGGAGAGCTTCCATCGCCCGAAAGAGACTGCCTAAAGGCGAGGGGACACAGGCAGCCCTGCCACACCCTGAAGCAGCTGGGGACTTTGCCTTCAAGGGAGCTTCTATCGGCTATCAGGTTATTCTAGCCTAGGCTACCTGCAGGCCACTCCTAAAGGCAAATTTTCTCCCCATCCCTCCCTGCCCTTCCCCCCGCATTTCTCTTCACCTCGTGTAGTTCTAACAAACGATGTGAGAAATGGCGGGGAAACGCATGGTTTAAATAGGCCTAAATTTTGGGGTCGGGGCTTAATTTCACCTCATGCCTAGAAATCATGCTGGGCCTTCCTATTGGTGGAGGCCGTATTGTTGAAACACGGTAGCTCTATGACTGTCATTCATGCTAATACATTTTAGCCCTGCAGAGATATATCCTATCTTCTATTATTTTGTAACATGGTAAGAAGAATCTTGGATTGTGATAAATAATGCACAGACTCTTAACAGATAATCACTAACAGTACAGTTTATAGAATTTGTTTGTTTCGGCACAGATACCTTCCAGGGCACGACAGATGGAATGTTCATCTTTGAAGATCCTTCTGTAGATGATAGCAGAAGTGTCCAAGGCTATGATGCTATTGTTGTAGAGCAGTGGACAATCTTAGATGTAAGCATATCATTTTGATTTATTTCCAACATCTTGATTCACAGCTCAATGAGAAATTAAAAGTTTTAAACTAATGCCTGCATTTTTAAAAAAAATAATTATGTTTTTATCTTGCTTACTTCATTTTCCACCCAATTTCACACTGCATTAATGCTCTCACCAATGTTGTGATTGTTGATCAGCTTCAATGTTTACTTTTTTATTGTGCATTCATCATGATTTCTATTGTAGCTTTTTAAAAATAATTGCCAAGAAAATTCTCAGAAATAGTGTTTCTTTCTTACAGTAAATCTGTGCAGAATAAAATTAGTAATATCATCTTATACAGAATTTACTTGAGACTTCTTACATTGTTATTTCTTTGTATGGAATGTATAATTCATAAAGCAAAGCTCTTTTTTAAAAAAAATGAAGATTCCTTTTTATTGTCAAGTCTCCTTGTAACGTTTACTTATTCCCACTTAATTCCAAAATAGGTGTGCAACTCTTGGACAAAAATAAGCCATTTATTTAAATAGACTTTCAAAAAGAAAAATGATATATAAAAATTATATTCTGTGATTAATTTTCAAGCAGAGATTAAAAAATAAGTTTAAGAATATTTATACTTTAGCAGTATATTCAAGCAGATTTTTACAGTGCCCTAATTAAATTAATATTAATTAAAAAAAATAAATTCAGCTGCTAATCAAAACACAAAGAGCATGTAAATACAACTTATTTATTTATTTATTTATTTATTTATTTATTTATTAATTAGCAGCAAGATGGGCAGTCTATATATGTAATTAATTAATTAATTAATTACATATATAGACTGCCCATCTTGCTGCCAGCTGATTCCAGGCAGCCTTTTAGCAAGATAAAAACAATGTAAAACTTTAAAATACTAAAAGAATAAATATAAATAAAATTAACATACCGTATATACTCGAGTATAAGTCGAACCGAATATAAGCCGAGGCACCTAATTTTGCCTCAAAAAACTGGGAAAACTTATTGACTCGAGTATAAGCCGAGTTTTTCAGCACATTTTTTGTGCTGAAAAAAAAAAAAACCTCGGCTTATATTCAAGTGAGATTCCCTCTGAAAAAAAAAAATGGTGTGGAGCTCCGGAGCTGGGCAGCCGCTTCCCTGCTTCCGTGTTTCCTTTGCAACTTGTAAGCATGGGGGTAATCGGAAGCAGAAAAGTTCTTGCATGAGGATATATTGTTTTTTCTTTATTTAACTGTTTTTAGGGGGGGGAAGCCCCACCGTCATGTGAGAATGCTCAGACACGAAATCTATCCGCCTGAAAATAAGTGTGTGTGTGTGTGGGGATTTTAACAGAGGGAAGACATAGGGAAAGTGACGGAAGATCCTTCAGGGGAAACTGAGGGGGAGACTCACCCTTGGTCCAGATGAGCCCCCTTCCCCGCCCCTAAGGAAGCAGAGGCAGCCACAAAGTCCCCCAATCGCGCAGCCCAGAATCTCCCTCCCCTCGGGGCAGCAATGACGCCCGGTGTTTCCTGAAACAAGAAGCTCCGCCGTGTAATGAAAGCGCCCTGGCTCTAGGCTCAGAAAACAACGCGAGCCGAGGTGGCTTCGTTTCCTCAGCCCTAGCTGCTTTCAGTCCGCTCGGGAGGAGGAGGGGGAGGAGGAGGTGGTGGCAGCGGCTCGCGTTGTTTTCTGAGATCTCAGAAAACAATGCCCCCCAAAAAACAGTTAAATAAAGAAAAAACAATACATCCTCATGCAAGAACTTTTCTGCTTCCGATTACCCCCATGCTTACAAGTTGCAAAGGAAACACGGAAGCAGGGAAACGGCTGCCCAGCTCCGGAGCTCCACACCATTTTTTTTTTCAGAGGGAATCTGTCTCGAGTACAAGCCGAGGGTTTTTTTTTCAAAAAATGTGCTGAAAAACTCGGCTTATACTCGAGTATATACGGTATATGGCCAAGGAAGTAAACAATATACAATGGGGTGGAGATAAAATCTTCTCTCAATTCACTATCACCTCCAAAATGGCACGTCTCATTGAGATCCCTAGCCAATCAGTAGAACCAGTTTTAAATCCCAGAAGCTCAAGAAGGTGGGGCAGATATAACCTCAAAGGGTAGCCTTTATTTAATGAGGCACTTTAGCAAATCTAGCTGGAAAAAGTTGCCAAGTCATGAGTTCTGAAGAGCCATAAAGGTCAGTGGGTGTGGGTGTGTGTATACAAACATACATACATAAACACAGTGCACAAACACATACAAATATATGATTTCCCCCAAAAAACAGTATTTCAGGAAAAAATATGATGATCTAATCAGGATTTAATTTGATTACCATGATTGTAAACATTATAGTAATATAAGAAGTCATTACTTGCAAAATCTTCACTGTCCAAATAAGCTCAAACTATAGTAATAAAGATTCTTTACTGTTTGGATCAGTCCTACTAAATTGACTTCATGGCTATTTTGTTGTTGGTAAGATAGCATCTCTTGGCTGCTCTGTTAAAGCTTGTGCCAAGTTCTAATCCCTATTTGTTTGGATCTATTGCAAAAATTTTGTTTTCATTATTCAGTCTTTGGCCTAGTTTCTGGATGGAACTAGGAGCTGAATATCAAAAGAGGGGGGAGTGTTGTTTAATGTTATGTCAATCACCCTGGTTACATATTGGTTTTAGGTCAGTGTCTTGCTCTAAACTCCAGTCCTATGAACAAGAAAATTCATAGGAATCAAAGAAACAGAGTCTCTTTTGAGTCACGATCAACTATTTTTTGTTAACAACATGGAAGTTGTTAACATTCTCATTTTTAAAAACACATCCTAGTCTAATGTACCATCCTGAGATTTCTTGGTAATTTTCTATCCAGTGAAGTCCATCATTCAGACGGAACTGCTTAGTTTTTGCAAGCATTAATAACAATTTGCAAGCTTAAGCCCTGGAAAGGGAGAGTCCAAAGTAAAAATGAAATCAGTTGACAGGAAGACTGTAAATCAAATAATCCAGGGTAAAGGCACAGCAGAATTTGGGGTTCAAAACCATAGAAATAGAAATAGATAAGAAGTACAAGAAGCTACTGCAGGAATGTCAAAAGCATATTAGTGTTGCCTGTAAAACTGCCAACTGATGGGAAAACTGTCAGGTGTAGGTTTCAATGTTACATATCTCTGAGCACAGGCATCTCTCTTGTTTAAAATATTGTAGAACTTTATTTGTGCAGTTTTACTACGTCTAGTTTTCTAGAATGTAGGGACAGATTCTAGGATTCAATCTAGGTTGGTCACTGAGATCAGAGATTTAGTTTTCTGAGCTTTCAGACTTGTGGTTGAGCCCATCCTTAGGGAACTTCTCGCTAGCAGAAGTTAACCTCTGCTCTTGGTGACCAGCTCAGATTGGATCCTGCAGCATCATCCTGGGACACATATATTCACTTTCTTTCATGACACATTTTAGTATTTAGGGGAAGATAGCAAACAGAGTCTATCAGTTTTCTTTTACCTCCCTTGTTTCCAAAACTGCTGCTGGACCCAGTCTTACTTGCTCCAGGAGCTGTGGCTCTACTGGTTTCTTGTGATGTTGCTTTAGCAAGGTCGTTGATCTCATACTCCTGTGGAATTGTTTTTTAATATGGCACTTTTCTTCCATGATGGAATTTGGAATGATAGATTTATTGTTAGTATCTCATTCAAACAATGGCTAAATGTGGATAAAATCTGCCTTCTGACCATTCCTAATTCTACTAGTAGCAGTCGACTGAAGGCTTGATTAAATGTTAGTTTCTTTTAGCTTTTCACTTGCTTTGTATATTGATGTGGGTATGAAACTCATAGCACATCTTAGAATCGTTATCATAAGAGTTACACAGACCTTAAAATGTTCCTTTCTGAATGGTCTGAGATATGTAATTCAAGTTGCATTTTCGTATGCAGTTTAATTCAACAACATGACCTTCCTTTGAATTTGAATGGGCATTACCATTGTCATTTTAACAAAAGCAAAAAAAAACTTGGCATGCTTTATTTCTACAAATAAAGCAGCTTCTCAACTGTAAGCAACAGGAATATGTTTATCATAGTTCGCTGAATGTGTGTAACATGTCAGTATGCAAAAAATGTAAACCTTCCAGCTGCCACAGTATGTGATTCTTGCCAGCAGTCAACAGGATGTAAGACAGCTGAGTTATTTAGAAGAAACTGCAATATATATGGCTTTTAATAGCTACACGTGTCCTGCTTCTTTATTACTCCAGTTCTATAGATGTCAGATTTTATTAATTCCAATAAGCTTTATGTGATTTAGCATTAAATCTTTTTTCTTCTTTCAGTTTTTCTTTCATAGAGTGATCCCTGTCATAGCTTCATGTCCTTTTGTTCCCTAAACCTAATTTGTTTCACCCCAAGAAAGAAAGATTGATGTTTTCTAAGGCCAAGTGTTGGCTGCTTGAATTTTGATACAAATGATGGTTCTTGCTTTTCTCTAGCTCCTGGTAGTCTTTTAGAATGCCTTTGTATTGTTGTTGTTAGTGGTGGTGCTAAATATCATCAGTATTCTAATCAACTTGGGGCCCGATGAACTGTAGGAAGGTTGTTAGGGATACACCCTAGCAGAATCTGCACGGCAGTCAGACAGGCAGGCAAAATATGTGAGATAAACGTTTTTGTAGCTTACACTCAGTAAAACAGATACACAGTGCTAATTAAATAGTTTATTCCAGTAAGAGTTATAGCATAGTCAAACAGTCCATATATCATTCACTAGTTCAGTCCGTCCAGGGATTATTCAGTTGCAAATTCCAGTGTCGAAAAAGAGAGGTCAGTAAACTTACAAATATCAGTCCAGTAATATATCTCCTTGCAGTAGAGATATGAAGAAGTCAAAAACTCCTCTCTTCCTTCAGCAACTCAGCAGTAGGGGAAACACGCAGTTAACAAACCATCAATCCATGCAATCCAGTAATTGTCAGGGAATCGTCAGGTTCTCTTGCTCCCTCTTATGGTGGTTTCACACCGCACCCAAAATTAC